ATTTTGACTGTATTCGTTCTTTCTATCCAGAAGCACGGCATGTTTCTGTTGTCTGATGTCCTCTTCAATCTCCTTTCACAGAGTACTGTAGTTTTCTTTAAGGAGGCCTTTCACTTCCTTGGCTAGGATAATTCCTACAGTAAATTTTTATTTTTCTTGATGCTCTCGTGAATTGTATTATTTTCATGGCATTTCATCAAGTTCATAAGTGCTACAATAAAGTTAGTTCATAAATGCTATGTAGCATTAGAGCTACAGTACACAAATGCTAATAATTTTATCTTGCTTTTGTGTCCTGCTACATTGCTGGAATTGATTATTAATCCAAGAGAATTCTTGGTGGAGTTCTTTGGGTCTTCTATGTAGACTGCCATGTCCTCAGCAAATAATGGTAATTTAAGGTTTTCCTTTCCTGTATGCTGTATATCCTTTTTTTTTCTGTTGCCTGATTGCTCTGGCTAATGTTTCAAGTACTATATATTGAATATAAGTGGTGCTAGTGGGTATCCTTGAACTTTCCCAGTTTTAGAGAGAATGCTTTTAATTTTTTCCCATTTAATATGATGTTGGTTGTTGCTTTGTCATAAGTAGCTTTTATCAAATTCAAGCATGGTCCTCCTATACATAATTTCTTCAGAGTTCTTATCATGAAAAGGAGTTTGGATTTTGTTGAATGCCTTTTTGCATCTATTGATAAGATCACATCATTTCTCAGCTTGTTTCTGTTCTTGGGATGTATTACATTTATCAATATGTGTATATTGAACCATCCTTGCATCTCTGGGATGAAACTTATTTGCTTATAATATACAATCTTCTTGATGATGTGCTGTATTCTAGTCACTAATCTTATTTGAGGAGTTTTGCCTGTATGTTTCCTTGTGAGAATGGCCTATCATTTTCATTTTTAGTTGGAACTTTGTCAGAGTTTGGAATCAGAGTGATTGATGCTAGCATCCATAGTGAATGTGGGAGCACTCCATACCTTTCTATTTCTTTGCAGAGCTTGAAGAGTATAGGTGATACAACATTCTTGAAGGTTTTGCAGAATTCAACTGTGAAACCATTGGGTGCTGAGCTTCATTTTGCTGGTATATTCTTTCTTACTATCTCTTATTTCACTGATTGTTATTCGGTTATTCAGTAGTGTGTGTGTGTGTGTGTGTGTGTGTGTGTGTGTCTTGGGTTAGGTTGGTAATTTGTATGAGTTGTATGAGCTGTCTTTCTTTCAAAGAGTTTGTTGGAATATTTTTTCAAAGTCATTAATCTTGATTTCAACAGTAGCTGTTGCAATTTCTTTTTTCACTTCTGATTACATTGAGGTGAGTCATTTCACTTTTTCTTTTGGTAAGTGTGGCTAAGAACTAATCTATTTTGTATATTCTATGAGCCAGTTCTTCAATTTGTGATATTTTGTATTTTGAGTCCCAATTTCATTGATTTCTGCTTTAATCTTTACAATTTTCCACCTTAATTTTGCTTTTGGCCTGCTGTTTTTCAGGTAGCTTAAGATTTCTCATAAGGTTATATAATTGAATTTGCTCTGTTTTTCTAATGTATTGATTACAGTGAACTTCTCTCTCAGGACTGTTTCATAACTAGCCAAAGTTTGCAGTGCCTTTTACAGGCATTGTCATCAACTTCCAGAAATGTTTACATTTCCATTTTTATTGTACAACCCATTGTTTTTGTTTTTGTTTTTGTTTTTTAGGAGTATGTGATTAATTTTCCAGGTTCTTCAACCTTTTCTGTGATTTCTTCTGTCATTGATTCCCATTTTCATTCCACAGCAGTCTGATAGTACATATGGGGTGATTTTGATTCTTTTATTACTTGAGTAGGATTTGGGGCCTAGAATGTGGTCTATTTTGGAAAAAGTACCATGTGCTACAGAAGAGATAGTCTGCTGCTTTAGTTGGGGTAGAGTACACTGTAAATATTTTAAGTCCATATTTCCATGGGGGTGGATCATCTCTGATACCCCTGTTGTTCCTAGAATTTATTCTTCTGTTTTAGAGAACACAAACTCACATTTTGGATATATAGCAGGTTAGGAGCTACATTTCCCTTGTTTGGATTATTTTGCTTATTTGGATTACTTGGTGCCCAATATCAATTTGATCATTAGCAAATCAATAAGACGTACTCCTAGATTTCCTCACATGTCCTCTCCTGGCATCTTATCTGTTTTTATGAATTCTTCAAGATTACATTGATCAGACCGGGTGCGGTGGCACACACCTGTAATCCCAGCACTCAGGAGGCTGAGGCAGGAGGATCGCTGTGAGTTCGAGACCAGCCTGAGCTACATAGTGAGTTCCAGGTCAGTCTCAACTACATAGTGAGACTCAAAAAACAAAGAAAATCCAAAAAAAAAAAAAAAAAAAGGATTACATTGATCATATGGTTGATATTGCCAGAAGTTGTATCTTAAAATGCAACTTCAGCTCATTAATAAAAGAGCTTCTGTGGGTCATTGCAAGGAAGCAGTGAAACTAAAATATTATTAACAAGATTTAACAGAACCATGAACATTCTGTAAAACTCGCTGTAAATGGCAAATATTCTAGACTGTGAAACTGGCATTAATGGGGCCACTGCTCCATCCAGTTCTGCAGCAAACTACTTAGAGAGTACAAAGACATGTAAAGTATATATGTACTGAAGGGCTGGGGAATTAGCTCAGTGGCACCACACCTGCCTCGCAAGTGCAAGGTACTGAGTTCCATCCCCAGTACTGGAAAACAAATTGAAGTAAATAGTAAAGGAGCTTACTAGGTAGAGGAATAAGACAAAAATTAAGTACATAAAATGAACATAGAGCCAAGAATAGCAGTCATGATTGTTTCTTATGGCTTGGAAGTGTATATATAACCTTTGAGAAAATATGTGCACCCATTTGATATGAGAGCTCTCTACATACCAAAGATTTTGAAAGGTGACGTCCCTTCTAAAGAGTCTGTTTATATCTGAGAAGGTATTTAACTCCCAATGAATCAGCTTGATTATTCCCTGAGGAGCTGTGGGAAGCAAATAGACTGTAGAAGTGAGCCCACAAGAAAGAGTGTACTGATAACGTTTCTGGTCTTTTTTCACAACTATTTTGTCTATATCGTATGTGATAATGAATAGGTCTCATAAAACCATGCTCTAAATCACTGTCTTCTGCATTAAAATAGGGATACTATATATTTTTTGAGGTTCCTTTTTTTGGTCTTGAATATATAAGGTAGCTGATTTGTTCCTAGAATTAGACCTTATAGAAATAATACCTATTTTGAAGATATTTGTCTCTTCATAAATGCTGTGCTTGTTTGCACAACGTGCTTAGTGAATGTGCCTAAAATATAATAGACTACATGCATTCTTCACATAATGACTGAGTCCTGTTCCTGTGGTTAAGTTGCTAAATGAATGGGGTGCTAAATGAGGAACTGTATACAAGTGTGTAATTTACAATATTTGAGACAAAGAAGTGGTCCAAATAAACTCCAACTTGGTGACTTGCTTTTATTTGTGTAACTCTTACATGCAGTACTATAATATGTAACAGATCATAAATTTTACAGTGCTACATTATACAGTAAAATCAGCAAAAATTAAACTACTGTATTAACAAGGTGTGCTGTACAGAAAAAGACATTGAGTCTGTCATTATATGCAGAACTGTACAAAAAAGCAAATGGGTCATAAGTCTGAGTGGTTTGTCATAATTCAGAAACAGAGTGCCTCAGGTTTAATTCCAGAGAGTATTAAAACAGGTAGGTTGTCAAATGAGGAATATCTGTATTGGCTTCAGTGTTTCTGTCTAGGATATTCTTGAGTATTTTCTGAAGTGCTGGCTTACTGTTCATATGTTTCTTGAGCTGGTCTTTTTCATGAAATGTCCTTACCTCAATCTATTTTGAAAGACAGCTTTCCTTGGGAACTTATACTAGGTTGGAAGTTATTCACTCAGGGTTTGAAATGTATCACTTCTGGTCTTTAAGCTCTTCTGGTCTTTAAGGTTTGCGTTAAGAAGTCTGTTGTAATTCTAATTGTTTTACCTTTATAGGTGTTTTTTTTGTTTTTCTCTATCTTAAATTTTTGTTGTTATGGTTTTTGGCTATCTGGCAGTATAATAAGGATATGCCTTTGTGAGATTCTTTTTTCATTACTATTATTACATATGTATAATATATATATAGTTCAGACTGGGCAATCTGTCCTGGGTCTCTCCCTGGGCTGGGCACATGGGCCACGTTGTGTAGCTGGGAGGGACATTCAGTCCCATCATCCTCCCTGAGCTGGATGCATAGCCCTATTTTGTGGCCAGGGGCACAGCATTGAGTTGGATGTTCCGTCCCCACATTTCCCTTTCTGTAACACCTTAGAAATTTCTATCTCTTGGTGATAGGTAAGCATTTCATGTTGGTGAGCTATAAGACAGTGTATCTTCCTTTATCTAATTTTGTTACACATTTTCCAATAAATCTGTAATACTTGTCATCGGCGTTTGGAATTATAATTTATCAGTTTTACTTTGTGCTTAATTATAGTTTTATCTATGAAACCAGATTCAAGTAAATGTTGACTAAATCCAATCAGAGGAGGAAGGGATCTATTTTCTAAATAATAATTTGAAAATACATATATTTTCTATGTTCTGTTACAGTAAGTCATTAGATATTCACCCGCCTCAGTTCTTTTGACCCCACATCTGATCTAGTAGACCCTATTTGTGAACCATGCTTTACAAAGAGTATAAAAATAAAACAGGTTAACCAGCAGGAGAACCAGTATTTCCCATTCTGCTGTTTTTTTAGCAAGTGAATTCCCATCTAGAATTGAAATTTCTGCGTGATAAATGCATGTGGATAAAGAATAAGTGTTTGCTGACCAAGTCAAGAAGTAACCATTTATGGGGCTCAGACTCACTTCAGCTTTTTATGAGTCAATTTGAGACATTGTATGTTATGAGTCTCACTCTTCTTCCTGGAAATGTATTTCTGATGATTTAGGAGGCAGTGACGTTTGAGGATGTGGCTGTGAACTTCACCATGCAGGAATGGGCTTTGTTGGACCCATCTCAAAAGAAGCTCTACCGAGATGTGATGTGGGAAAATTTTAGAAATGTTACTGCCATAGGTAAGGAAGATATCATTTTTTGTTTATGCAATCAGGGAGCATTGGTTATTCCTCATCAGTGTAGTTTACTTTATTGGTATATGAAAATATTTTCATGAATTTTCCAGGCATAGTCATATTAAACCATGAATCTAACTGGAAGCTAATAATTTGTATGTAATATAGTAACTCTTCATTACATTTCTTTTTGTACACATTAGGAAGAAAATGGAATGAACAGCAAGTTGAAGATGAGAACAAAAATTACAGGAAACGTCTAAGGTAATTTTCACCCACTAGACTGTGTATCAACAGTCAGAAATATTAAAGCCAAGTAAAATATATACAACTGAGGCCATATTAAAAGAAATGTAGAGCCAAGCATCATGGCATATGCCTGTAACTCCAGCACATGGACAACTGAGGCAAGAGGACTGGCAGGAGTTCAAAGCCCAGCATGTGCTAAATAGTGAGTTTGAAGCCTGCCTTAACTGTTGTGTGGCCTTGTCTCAGTCAAACAAACAAAATGAGACCATGATCAAATTTCCTTAACCACACAAATTTCTCTGAAGATGCATACGTATTTATTGCCTACAACCTGACAGTTGAATATTTGAAATATCTCAATATCTGAAATGTAGGGAGTGATAACATCTTGCCATCAGTGATGTTATATAATGTATAATAAAATTTGTCCATGCTCACAATTTTAAAACTGTATGAAAACTGTTCATTGTATTTAGGCATTGACTACAGGTATATTTTTTAAAGTGTGTTCAGTTGAGAGCCAAGTGCTGGGTATCTAATTACATGTACATTTATTTTCAAAAGACCGCTTTCTTATCAAACAAATTATGGAAGTAATGCTATAAATATTTAAACACACACACATTCAGTATTTGCAACATTGGCAACCTTCAGAGACCACTCAAATCCAAGGGAATATCCCTGTTTTAATAATAGCAGCTTTCAAACAGTCCTTAAAAGTATTTAATCATGTTGTGACATACAGTATTAGAAGGCACTTTCCCATACATAATGTTGGTGGGAATGTCATCGTAGTATAAAACCTATGGAAATGTGCATAGAGAGGTTCCTCAAAAAAGTAAAAATAGAAATTCCATTTTACCCTGCTATGTTTCTACTGGGTGTATTCCCCAAAGTTAAAGTAATCAGAGACAACATACTCTCCCATCCTGCTTCTGTCTCTCTTAGACTGAAGCTATCTTTTCTCAAATTTTTCCTACTCTTACACATCCACAAAAAATAAAATAATCACATTACACAGATAACATGCATATCCATGTTTGCACTAGTAAAACTTACAAAAGCGAAGGTCTGGAAACAGCACAGTGCCCATTCACAGATGTGTAGAAAGGGAAAATGGGATAGCTGGGCAGGACGGAGCACACTGGAAGACTCAGTCACATTCATGCTCAGCCTGGGCAACTTGACTGATGAGACTCAGTTTCATAGTAGAAGATAACTCTGAGAACGTAGCTCAGTGTTAGATCCCTGGGTTCAGTCCCCCACACTGAAAATAATGTGATGCGTAAATCTAATGGAGTGGTATTCAGCCATAAAGGAGAAAGAAATGATATCTTTGCCGAGAAATGCGTGCATCTGCAATGCATATTCGTTAAATAAGATAAACGTAAAGCCCAATATGATGTGTTGTGTTTTGTTTGAGATATGCGTTAAGAAGTAAAGGAGAGATGGTAGAAAAGAGAGGGGCAGACATTTTGGAGAGAGGGGCAGACATTTTGGAGAGAGTGGAGAGTCTCAGGGGGAGGGGAAGCGGTGGAGGAAAAGGATATGAAAACAATCAGCAAGCGGTATACATATGTACCAGCTGTTCACATTCAGAGTAACCAGTGTGTATTACAAACATATCACTTCTAAACTCCCAAACGAATTTGGCCAAACTGTTCCCAAGCCATCATCCGTAGTGTACAGTAAATGCATGAACAAATAAGCTTAGGGAGCATCAAATCACATCTCTTCCTGGAAAACCATTAATATAAAAACACTTAAATTTGCCAAATTAAAACAATTTTTTTTTTCTTTGACAGAAGTGCAGAGGTAGATAAATGCTCTCAAAATAAATTATGGTATCAACAAGGAGAAATTGTATCTGTGATTACCAAGACAAATATGCACCTAAAACTGCTTGGTATAAAACCAGGTGAAAGCCTCACATGTGGAGATCCTCTGATCGGTCATTCATCATCAACCACGCGCATCATACGCAACCCTGGACTCAAATCATACAAGCTCCGTGGATTGAAACAAAAGCTGTCTAACTGTGACAGACATGGGAAAACTTCCACTGGCTTGCAGTCCTTCCAGAAATATGCAGAGACAAATCCTGAAGAAAAGCCCTGTGGATATAAGCAATGTGGACAGTCCTACTCTGCTTTCTCTGAAGGAAGTAGTAATGCTGAAGAGAAATCCTTTGCATGTAAGCAAGATGTGCAAGCTTTCAGTACATGCAACAGTGTTCAAATCCAGGAAAGAAATCACAGGAGGGTAAATACCTATATATGTATACAATGTGGAGAAGGTTTGAATTCTTACCAGGATATTCAGAAACATGAAACAGCTCACACTAGGACAGAATCCTATGTATATAAACACAAGTGGAAATCCTTAAATGAGAACACTCCATTTGGTAACCACAAAAGGACTCACACTGGGGGAAACCCCTACATATATAACCAACATAGGAAGGCTTTCAGCATACAGAGTTGTGGTCAGATGCGTGAAAGGATTCATAATGGGAAGAAACCCCATGTATGTAAGCAATGCGGGAAAGCTTTCAGGACACAGAGTCAGTATAAAATACATGAAAGGACTCACACTGGGGAGAAACCCTATGTATGTAAGCAGTGTGGGAAAGCTTTCAGCACAATTGGTAATTGTCAAAAACATGAGAAAACTCACACTGGGGAGAAACCTTATGTATGTAAGCACTGTGGGAAAGCTTTCACCACAAACAGTTATTGTCAAATACATGAACAAATTCACACTGGGGAGAAACCCTATGTATGTAAGCATTGTAGGAAAGCTTTCGCCACAAACAGTGAATGTAAAATACATGAAAGGACTCACACTGGGGAGAAACCCTATGTCTGTAAGCAATGTGGGATAGCTTTCAGCATATATGGCAATTATCAAAAACATGAAAGGACTCACACTGGGGAAAAACCCTATGTATGTAAACAGTGTGGGAAAGCTTTCACCACACATAAGAATTGTCAAAGACATGAACGACGTCACAGTGGGGAGAAGCCCTACGTATGTAAGCATTGTAGGAAAGCTTTCGCCACAAACAGTGAATGTAAAATACATGAAAGGACGCACACTGGGGAAAAACGCTATGTATGTAAGCAGTGTGGAAACGCTTTCAGGACACGTGGTCATTGTCAACTACATGAAAGGACTCACACTGGAGAAAAACCCTATGAATGTAAACAATGTGGGAAAGCTTTCAGTGGACAAAGTAATTGTCTACTACATGAAAGAATTCACACTGGGGAGAAACCCTATGTATGTAAGTACTGTGGGAAAGCTTTCAGCACACACAGTTATTGTAAAATACATGAAAGAATTCACACTGGGGAGAAACCCTATGTATGTAAGTACTGTGGGAAAGCTTTCAGCACACATAGTACTCGTCAAAGACATGAAAGAATTCACACTGGGGAGAAACCCTATGTATGTAAGCACTGCGGGAAAGCTTTCAGCACATATAGTGCTTGGCAAATACATGAAAAAGCTCACAGTGGTGAGAAACCCTATGTGTGTGAGCAATGTGGGAAAGCTTTCAGCAGAAAGAGTTATTGCCAAATACATGAAAGAGCTCACAGTGGGGAGAAACCCTATGTATGTAAGCAATGTGGGAAAGCTTTCAAGACACACAATAGTTATCAAAGGCATGAGAAGAATCATGCAGTAGAGAAAACTATTATGTGAGCAAGATGGAAATGCCTTTCAGTTATTCAGTAATCACCATAGGCAAAATTAAGAGAGTAAATAACTTGGAATTATTAAAGTGACTGGCCCTGATACGAAAGGAGAGTGCAGAGAAGCCCTTTTTATGAGATATTAAGTCTCTCAGTACACAATTATTACATAGCTGAAGGAATTCATAGAAGAGAATCGACATACGTGAACAGTGTGGGAAATGTTTTATTCTTCTCAGTGCATTGAAGTTCCTGAAAGAATCCCTATGAGAGGGAAGCCATAGGTATGCAATAAAGATGTGGAACTCTTTTTTTCCCTACTTACCTTGAAAATCATGAATAAACTCCCACTGAAGACAAAGCCTATGTAAATAATGTGTTAAGCATTTTATGATTCTCTTAACGTAAGAAAACATGCACAAACTCAGGATGTGATTTAGTATTAATACCGAACGTGAGAAAGCTAAGAATCAGAGTGACAGAGATGGAGAGGTGTTTCAGGAATGCGATACACTGTTGCAAAGCACACCTACAGGGACAGTGTTCCTTCAGTACATCTAAGGACGAATGCAATGATGAGGTTGGAATGTGCATAAGGTTAAGAATAAAAAAGCACCTTGCAAAAAAGATAATTAAAAAAACACCTTGCCTCCAATTCTTCAATACATGGTCTTTAAGGGACACATTACATGCAAACCATTGACTTAGTTGTATGGGTAAAGTGAAGTTTATTCATATGATGAAATTTTATTCAGTCTTAAAGGCAATCCTTTATTTGTGACAGTGTAGATTAACCAAGAGGTGATTATGTGGAATATGCAACGTACAGACAAAGCTTGAGCATCTTTGTTTTTAGCATCTAAAATTGACAACTTTTAAGCTTAGAGTTCTGTGATGGTTGCCACCTATTTGGTTGGGGAAGTTGAGAGATGTTAAGGAGAAAGCACAGTGTTTCTCTTGTAGAGTAAAATGGTACAGATCCCATAGTGCCTAAAGTGATCGATGCAGTGCTATGTAGAATTACAACAATTTGATAAAAGATGTCTTTGTGTTTTCTCCGTATACCCAAAAGGTGATTGTGTTAGATGACACAAATGCTAAAGGAAGAATGTGGTAATTTTATGATATAAACAGTAATATTGCATTGTACACTTTTGATATATGATTTTGCTATTCTTTGTTTTATGGAATGAATACAATTAATTTAGCAAAAACAGCATTACTGTGGTTTCATGATGTATCCACATAGTCTCCTTTCATCAACTTTTACAAAATGCATTTTAGTTTTTACTCTATTTATTTCTGAAAGTACTCAGCATTAGTTTGTCTGAAGGTTGTAGGATATTGTTAAGCTGAAAGTTTTTGATATTTTAGGGAAATTCATACTTGGTTCATTGGAAATGTTTGAGGTTATAATTTGAAAACAACTGACAGTGTTCATGAATTCATTTCTTCCCATTTTGACAGAAAGTTATATTTGTGTTTAAAAAAAAAAAAACCTCCTACATCATTTCTCTGGATAGACTTAGGTAGTCCAAACCTAGGGATCACTGTTTTCTTCCAGTACTGGGGATGGGACTCAGGACCTTGTGCTTGGCAGGCAAACATGGCACCACTGAGCTATATCCACAGCCCTAGGGATCATTTTTTTAACAAAGACTTTTGTTACCTTCAAGGCTCACTCTGACATGATGGGCAAGGCTTCTGTCCACCCAGTAAAGGTGTCAGTGCATATCAGGAGGTGGGTGTACCCCATACACATAGGCATGTGGGTGAGGTCTATTTACCAGTCTTCTCAAGGGATGAATCCACAACTTGGCTGGTTCAGGCAATGGGGAAGGATGAGCCTGGATATTATGGGTGACACAGACAGGACATGTCTCTAAGACCTGGATTACAATGTCATAGAATCTCATGAGTAGAAAAAAACGATGTGCTATAGACATGGCCACATGGCACTTTAGGTAGAAAGCTTTAGTGATTTTCCACTGCATTTATCACAAGAACAGTAGAGCCCCATATACCAACATTGGCCCTTTTGAACTACTTCCTCATTATGAATAGTTTGAAGCTCTTCTGTAGAGTACCCTGTCCCTAACCCAAGACCTGGAATGGGGCCATGGGTAGAGATACTGATGGGTGAGAATTATTTGGAAAGTGGCAATTTAGCAATGAAATCTTTCCTAGAAGTTCTCCGGGAGAAAGGGCTCAAGGAGGCAATATCCCCAGCTATGGACAACTGCTACCTCTCTTGGGATATTTACTCCCTCTGGGGGACTGAAGATCTCTGGTCCATTTATGCTGGAAGTTGGTTGGTAAGTAGTCAAAAATTCCTCTTTTTTTCACATGACTGCCTGTGCATTATTCTTGGGATATTTACTCCCTCTGGGGGACTGAAGATCTCTGGTCCATTTATGCTGGAAGTTGGTAAGTAGTCAAAAATTCCTCTTTTTTTCACATGACTGCCTGTGCATTGGGATCGGAAAGGGAAATTTAGAGTTAGTATACGTATTGACCCTCTTGTCCTAGTTAAGTTGGAGAGTCCAAGAGTGCACAGTAAGTTCTGCCTTTTAGGTCACAGTCCCAATTTAACCAGGGCATCTTCAATATCTCTACCAATGATCCCATTCCAGGCCTTGGGTTAGAGACAGGATACTCTACTGCTGCGAGTTGGGGGTATCTTTAAACCCTGAGGCAAGACAGTCCAAGTATACTGTTGTCAAATCCTGTTTGTTGATATTCCCATTCAAAGGCAGAAAATAATTTGGCATTAGGATCCATCCAGATAGAAAAAAAGGCATCTTGGAGACCAAGGACAGGGAAATATTTTGTGTTCCTAGAATCTGTGCTAAAAGAGTATATGGATCTGTTACTAATGGGTGAATAGGTATGACTGTCTCATTGATAGACTTGTTAAAATGAGTGTGCTGTATTGCAACTGGCATGGCACTAGTAACCTTGTACCCAAAACATCAATAATGGGATTTAGCTCTATTTTAGCTTCTTTCTTAAGTTAATATTGCCTTTTTTGAGGATGTAGAGTAGGGTTCTGTAGCTGTGTGATGACTAGAGTGGTGTCAGCAGCCCTTCCTAGTGTGCCATGTACCATGCTTAGTGATCAACTCATGATGGGAATATTGAACCCCATGGGGTTAGGCTACTAAAGTTCCTAGTAACTAGGACATGGTTGCCAGAGTTTTGGATGTCAGAGTGGCCCTGAGTAGGAACAGTTCATCTCTTCCCATTACTAGTTGTGCCCTGCAAAACTACCTTTCAGATTTTTCAGAAAAATGAGATACCATTGGGGTGGGGGGGAACCTGAAGAAATTCATGACCACCGAACTAACACTCCAAAGTGTTCTGAAGGACATTTTAGAAAGAGATAATGACTACGACTCTGTGACAACTCCATCCGAATGAATCCACCAGGCAAGGCAAGTAATTAAATGGAAAAAAAGGAAACCATCAAGAGCAAAAGAACATGAAAGTGATAAGCCAGTATGTATCAGTTATAACCATCAATGTAAATGGTTTCATTTCACCATGCAAAAGGAACAGACTAGCAGAATGGATCAAGAAACAACATCAAATCATTTGCTGCATATGAGAAACACATTTAACTCAAAAAAATTTGTAGACAAAGTCAAAGGATGGAAAACAATATTTCATGTGACAGGAACTCAGAAAAAAGCAGGGATAGCTATTCTATTTGCAGACAGTGGATTGCAAGTCAAGTCCAATCAAGAGAGACAAAGAAGTCACTACATAGTTGGAAAACTCCCAACAGGAAGAGATCTCATAAATATATATTCACCAAATACCAGCACACCCTACTATATAAACAAATATCAATGGACATGAAAATCATATAAGCACAAATACACTTGTAATGGGGGACCTCAATACCCCAATGTCACAAATAGAACAGTTAAAAAGTCGACAAAATTATCAAAATTGAACCAAACTCGTACAAATGGACTTAGTAGATGTCTTCAGAGTGTTACAGCCCACAACACATTCTTCTCAGCTGCACGTGAGACAGTCTCCAAAATAGACCACATACTAGCTCATAGAACATGCTTAAGTAAATGCAAATAAGCTGCAGTTATCCCATGGAGATTATCAGACCATACTGCGATGAAACTCGAAAAAATGTCAAACTCACAAAAATTTTATAAACACATGAAAATTAAATAACACACTCCTGAACAACCATTGGGGTCATAGATGAAACTAAAGAAGAAATTAGACAGTTTCTGCAATTAAATTGTAATGCCAGTACAACATACCAGAACATATAGGAGACAATGAAAGCAGTCCTATGAGAGCAATATGTAACAGTGAATTCCCATATCAGAAAAACAGGGCAAGCTTAAATAAACAACATAATGTTGAACCTCAAGGCTCTAGAAAAATAAGTCAAGCCCAGAGCTTGTACAAGGGAGGAAAGTATAAAGATCATTGCAGAAACTACTGTAATTGAGACTATGAAAACAATACCAAAAAATCAATGGCTCGAGTTACTTTGAAAGATTAAATAAAATTGACAAACCTTTGCCCAACCTTATCAAACAAAGGAAAGAAAAGACTCAAATTAATGCAACTAGGAATGAAAAGGGTAAAATCACAATGGATCCTACCTACTTCAAGAATCTGTATTCTAAGATGGAAAACAGAAGAAATGGAGAGATTCCTAGATACATACCAAAGCTAAATTGAGAAAATATAAAATTTCTAAATCACAAATTCAATCAATGAAATTGAAGATATAATTAACCTACCTACCATAAAAACCCGGGTCCTGATAGATTAACTGCTGAATTCTACAAGAAAGTTAGAGATCTAATGCCAATACTCCTCAAACTCTTTAATGAAACTGAAAGGGAAGCAATACCCCAAATTCATTCCTCAAAGCAGTATTACTCTGATACTAAAACTAGAGAATAATCCAACCAGAAAAGAGAACTACAGGGCAATCTCCCTAATGAACATAGAAACAAAATTCCTCGGGAAGATACTGGCAAAAAATGCAGCAAAGAGTATACACCATGACCAAGTAGGATTCATCCCAGGGATGCAAGGATGGCTCGATATATGCAAATCAATAAATCTAATTGACTATATCAGCAGAGCCAAAAATAAAAATCACATGATCATCTCAATAGATGCAGAAAAAGCATTTGACAAAGTCCCATGCCCATTCATGGTTAAAACCCTACAGGAAATTGGAATAAATGATATTTATCTCAACCTGAAAAAGCCATCTGTGACAAACTAATAGCCAATATAATACTAAATGGCCCAAAACTGAAAGCTTTCACTCTAAAATCAGGAGCATGATAAAGATGTCCACTATCATCACTCCTATTTAATAAACTTCTGGAAATATTAGCCAGAGCAATTAGACAAAAGGAAGAAATGAAATGAAGATAGGAAAGGCAGTTAAATTATTATTATTTGTAGATGACATGATTCTCTACGAGAAGACACCAAAAGACTTCTAGATTTAATAATCAAATTCAGTAGTGTAGCTGGATACAAAGTGAACAATCAAAGCTCAGTAGCATTACTGTACACAAGATAAACTCACTGAGAGAAAAACTAGAGAAACAACACCTTTCGCTATACCATCAGGGAGGAAATGAAATTCTTAGGAATCTAACAGAGGAAATAAAAAATCTTTACATTGAAAACTATAGTACTATGAGAGAGGAGATTGAAGAGGATATAAAAAATGGATGATATACTTTGCTATTAGGTAGGAAGAACCAACATAGTAAAAATGGCCATACTCCCACATTATTATACAGATTTAATTGAATCCTAATCAAAATACCATTATCATACATCACAAAACTAGAAAAAAAATCCTAAAATTTACTTGAAATCAGAAGAGACCTAGAACAGTAAAAGCAACTCTGGACAGCAAAAGCAAGGCAACGAGCCTCAGAATCCCCGACATGAAGTTATACTGCACAGGTACTGTGAGAAAAACAGCACAGTACTGGCAAAAACAAGCTGAGGATCAATGAAACAGATTAAAAGATGCAGGAGTAATTGTAAACACACTCAGCCGCCTTCTGTTTGACAAAGATGACAAACATCTTCACTGGAAGAAAGACAGCCTTTTTAATAAATGGTGC